ACAGATTTTCATATTTGGGGTTTAGGTCCTTCATACTAGAAATGTGCATTGCTTCAGCTAGCACGATGACACCATTATTTTGCATAGTACTTTTATCATCTTGTTCTTTCGTATAAAATGTGTATCCATTAACTGCGTATGCGCTATAGGAAAACACATGCAAACTTGGACCATATGCCAAACATCTCAACCTTTTTGTTATTGAAGCGGGATCTGAATGAAGCTTTGAAAAAACATGATCCTTAAACCATGGTATAAAACTTTGATTATGCTCCCGTACTATCCAATTTTCATTTCTATTCTGATTTAACCCTCTGAGTATATCCTTGTGGATTTCAACATATGGCTCAACCTCACTGTCATTGTGCAGAACATACAAATGTATCGCTCAATAATACAACCCTCTGGGAGACTTCGGTTTTTCACGTACCCTTTTAATACTTTCATATAATGTTCAGCAGGGTACATCCATCTCATATAGGCTGGGCCGCACAACTGTGTCTCTTTCACAAGATGAACAACTAAATGTACCATTATGTCAAAAAATGAGGGAGGAAAATACATTTCAAGCTTACACAAAGTAATAACAATTTCTTTTTGCAATGTTGGTAAGATCTCAGGATCAATCACCTTACTACAAATTGACCTAAATAAAAAACACAACTTAGTTATTGCACTCCTTACTTTATCTGGCAAAATAGAACGTATACCTATTGGTAGAAAATGCTCCATTATAACATGGCAATCATGTGTCTTTAAACTCTTTAACTTGAGGTCTTTCATAGACGCAAGTCTTCTAATATCTGTAGAGTATCCTTCTGGAACTTTAACTTCATTTAGAAACTTACACAATATCTTTTTCTCCTTTCTAGATAGAGTAAAAGCAGTAGGTGGTAGATATGTTCGGCTTCCTTTATTCACGGGTCCTAGTTCAGTTCGTATTCCCATCTTTAACATGTCCTCCCTTGCTTTAAGACCATCCTTAGACTTTCCTTTAATATTGAGTAACGTACCAATAACACTTTCAAATAAATTTTTTTCAATATGCATAACATCGAGAAAATGTCTCACATACAGAGACTTCCAATATGGAAATTCAAAAAAAATTGATCTCTTCTTCCACCCACCTTTGACAACCATATGCGTAAAAGGCTTGCCAAACTGAGTACACACATCTTTCACCTTTTCAAAAATTTGATCACCTGACAATGCAGGTGGAGCTTTACATTGTTCGGTGTCTCCATTGAATGCTTTTCTCCATGCACGATAGTGATGTTTAGAATGTAAGAATCTACGATGATCGAGAAACACATTCTTATGACAAAGTTCCAAATGCATTGTATTGGTTCCATCTTCACAAACAGTACACACACTTTGACCTTTAATGTTATACCCAGATAGATTCCCGTATGCTGGAAAATCATTAATTGTGCCAAACAACATCGCCCTAAAATTGAAACTTTGTTTCCTATATCCATCATAAACCTCCACCTCGTTCTCCCACAAAATCTTTAAATCTTTGATCAAAGGTGTCAAGTATACGTCTATGTCCTTCCCTGGTTGTTTAGGCCCAGATATTAACATAGATAACATCATGTACTTACGCTTCATACATAGCCATGGAGGTAGGTTATAAATCATAAGAATCACATGCCATGTGGTATGTGAGATACTTTGAAGACCATGTGGGTTCATTCCATCAGTAGATAAAGCCAACCGAAGGTTTCTTGCTTCTTCTCCAAAATCAGGATAATCATTATCAATTTTCGACCACTATGGTGAATATGCTGAATGTCGATATTTTCCATCAATAATTCTTTCATCTGCATGCCAAGTAAGGTGTCTTGCATCGGTTTCACTATGAAACATTCGCCTAAATCTTGGAATTATAGGAAAATACCATAAGACTTTTGCTGGAGACAATTTTTTCTTATATCGAGACATACCGCATTTAGGGCACTCATTTAACGATGCATATTCGTTTCGAAATAAAATGCAATCGTTTGGACAAGCATGTATCTTATCATAGCTCATGCCAATAGAGCACAACATTTTTTTGGCCTCATAAGTTCGATTAGGAAGAACATTATCCTCCGGATGCATATATCTCATAAGGGCTAATAACTCTGTGAAACTTTTATCTGACCATCCATTGCCTGCCTTTAAGTTGTACAACTTTAATACCGCAGACAGTCTTGTGAATTTAGTGCACCCTTTATACAACGGTTTCTCTGCATCGCTTACCAATCTCTCAAACATTTTGGGACAAACCTGAAGATCTTCTTCAAGTGCATCTGCAATCTCTTCGACTCGATCAAAATTGTATGTATTTGTGTCCTTGTCGTCTGAAGCATAGGCCGTACTACTTTTCTCCCCCGATTCAACGTTGTCGTTACTTTTTTCACCGTGAAATATCAAACACGTATAACTTCTATCAATTCCACGCATTAGTAAATTCGATTTCAATCCATCTGCGTTAACCCGACCCACATAACAACAACCCAAGCAAAGACACTTCATTCGATTGGGGTCTTTGGCGTGTTCAACAACAAACTTAACGAATTTCAATACTCCATTCTCGTACTCTTGTGACAATCGATCGGTAAACATCCATTTTTTATCCATTTTTTCTACTTATTCAAGTAAACAAAAACACTATAAACGGATTATTCTCTTTTTGTTTGAATTAAACAAATTATTTCTAGAAATTTATTTCTAGAGTTAATAACATGGACTAAAAATAAATATATCTATATAAAAATAATTATGTTTTTTAATTGATCGATACAGATAGAATTTGAACTTGACTTACCAAAGAAAGAAAAGGGGATATTGGTGTCGACGGCGGATGATGCGGCTTTGATGTTCTTCGAATCGGTGATGGTCTTCGACTAACTACACCAATACAAAAGGATCATCAAAAACAAGTTTTATATATATATATATATATATATATATATATATATATATATATATATATATATATATATATATATATATATATATATATATATATATATATATATATATATATATATATATATATATATATATATATATATATATATATACTAGTAACAAAATACTAGTTTATGGAAAATATAAACATGATAAATAATTCAGAAATCAATTAAAATAACAAAAAAACCAATTATGTATATCATCTTTTTTATTCCAAAACATAGAACCAAAGTAAAATGCAATAATGCTAAATGCTAAAAGTGTTGCTGTTATATATCAAGCCCTACCAAGAACTCAAAAATTAAAATGCATACATATAACCCAGTTTAGACATCAATAGGAGGATAATGTCTTAGATGTTAGCATAGTACATTATCAAGGAGGATAACTCAGTTTGGACATCAATGGAGATAAAGACATTTTCAATAAAGAACATACCTTGAGAACAGACCGGTGTGGGTGGAAGAAAATTGAGCGAGACGGTGGAGGACGGTGTACGACAACGAAGGATTTGAGACGGAGAAGGAAATGAGTTTCGCTTGAAGAAGGGAAAGGGTTTCGCTAGCTTATGTATTCGTGAATCTGTGAATACACATATTCTATTTTTTTAATTTTCACTCATAAGGGTTTAGACAGCGCTTTCTAAAAGCGCTGACTAATATGGACCTATGGCAGTGCTTTTGAAAAGTGTTGGCTAACAGTGTCCTTTAACAGCGCTTTTCTAATATATTTTTTAATTTTTTATGACTTTAGACAGCGCTTTCTTAAAGCGCTGTCTAAAATGAACCTTTACCAACGCTTATGATAAAGCACTTTCTAAAATAATCCTTTAACAGCGCTTTTTAAAAGTGCTGTCTAAGGTCATATGTTTAACAGCGCTTTTACTAATTATTTTTTAATTTACTTATAGCAGCGCTTTTGTACAAAAGCACTGTCTAATGTGCGTTATTAAAAATCACTTTTGACATTGTGATATTTTAAGTGAGAATGTCTCGCAAAGATGTGTGATTCAAAAAAATCTTCAAAATTAAAATAACTCCTCGGACTAATAAATAGTATCATGATCGCTTGTACAGAATTTCTACTTAGGAAAAATATTATAGATAAACTTATACTTTAAAATATTGTGAGAAAAGATAAACTTATACTTTAAAATATTGTGAGAAATCTCATATTAATTAAAAAATGTAAAGACTTGAGTAATATTTATTCAAAATTAAAATAACTCCTCATGTTAATCCCGAAATTGGACTAATAAATGCGCTTGTACATAATTTCTACTTAGGAAAAATATTATGGATAAACTTTATGAGAAATCTCACATTAATTAAAAATGTCTACTTAAGGAAAATATTATGAAAAACTTACACTTGAAAATATTGTGAGATATTTAATTAAAAATGTGAAGATTTGAATAGTATTTATAAATGATTGAACCTATTAACATCTAAAAATGTAGATGAATATGTGGTTCGTCTTTCAGTTAAATTCAAAAAATACCCTAAATATAAAAATACTCTTTTTTATTAACCCTCTGAATTACCTCAATAAAGACAAAGTTAGCCTTGATGAAAAAATTATTATTAGATACACTCCCCCCTTGCTTACTGGTGAAGAACCGATAGTTTTGATCAGTTTAGAATAATCCATGTGTCAATTAGTTCGTAATGCAGCTCTGTTATTTCCTTTTTATTATTCCATCATCTATAATCTAAGAGGAAGTCCTCAAATTCTACTATTTTTATTTTTTAAATTTATTATATATGCTTGAATTCATTTATATTATTTATGATTCAATCATTTACTGATTTATTTTATAACCTTAAAAATAGGGAGTAAAAAGAAGCAAATACTTGTAACCAATAAAAAAAAAAAATAGAGAAGCAAATACTTGTATATACAATGCAATGCTACAAACTGAGACTCCTTCATACAAGGAACAACCATAAAACAGGAACATAGTCGAGACTAGGAAACTACACCGTTATTAAAATTAAACAAGAAACAAACTGTAGCTATATACTATACAATGTGGATTATTAAACACGAGTAGCTGGAACACCCTTGTGCATAGGATCACCAGTAGTTCCGCCTCCAACACCATAGTCAGTATCACGATATCCTGGACCATATCTACTATTGTACAGCCCTGCATGGATCAGCAACAAATACAACAATTGTGTGAATGTCAGTATGATTATGAAAGCTTCCACCATCTTCAGCCTCCACCCTCTATGTCCTCCTATGTGTATCTCCTTGCAAGCCAACCTATTCACAACACACAACACATATGGTAACTGGTGTCTGTGTGTCAGTATTTCAATATTAAAATATTGAAGAAAATTTAGTAATATACCCCATGGCTAGAGCAGTAACAGCCCAAGCAACAACTGATGTAGCTCCAGCAGATGCTAAACTGTCACTCCTCCATGCCCTGATGTGATTTCCACCTATAAATTTCGACACAATACCAAGAACAGAAGCTAACATCGCAAAAATCAAGAAGAACGTGGTTGCACCATTTCCACCAAAACCTGAAGCAAACAATCAGATACACAAAATGATTTCAAATCAAGCTACTGTTTAAACACATGAACAAAATGGATCTTTTTTCAGTGAACTTACTTGGGTGATAAGTTTGGCCATTGATGAGCCTATTGAGACACCAACTAGCAAAACCAAGAACAATCAAATACATGAGCAAGTTCAGAAAAAGCAACGGAGCTAGAACATTTCTCCCAACAGAAGCCATACTTCAGAAGCTTGTAGAATCTCTATATTTTTGCTTTTGCACCGAATAATTCAACTTTACAGTATGTTTTGTTTTGTGAGGTTGAATGTGACATTGTGAAGCTATAAATAGAGATTTCGAAAGATCGTTTGAACTCTGAAGACACGTGTCAGCTAACAAGGTGTAGCATGTGTTGTTTCTTGTACAGGTGGTAGGACACTTGTCATTTGTTGTCACATTGTTCTTAACAAATCTATTGCTGTCTTTTTATTCCTTTTATATTATATTGGAACCTTACATCTCAAAGTTTAATAAAACGGTGCCTTGTCCATGAAAATGAAACAATAGTGATAATCAACCAATGTTTCGTTACTAGTACTTTGCACTTGCAAGATTGTTATCGGTGGGTACTTTAATTTTCTTCACTACTTTGAGATCATTTGTATTGTATTCACTATTCATATTAAATGTAATATTCTCATGGTTTTGGTATGTCGACAAGTTGAAGATTAGGTTATCTATTGGTTGAACACTTGTATTGGTATTCTTTTTCAGACAGATATTACACTTATCCATATGGACAAATATAATAATGAAAATTCGGACTCGAATGTTTTGAGATGTCGTTCACCGTTTCAAATCTCATAATGAGAACTCCAACATTCAATTTTATCTCTAAGTTTTTAACTTTTTAATGTCTAAAATAAGTACTTTATAACAGCATAATACATGATCTTAAGTAGAGATGAATTTAAATTTAATGAGTTTATTTAATGTGCCTAGTTGAAGTTTGAAATGATTGATATTTAATTTTTTAAGAAATAAAATATTAGTTAATATCAATGTGTTTTGTCATTTCATATTAAAAGAGATATTATTATAAATATTATATTTTATAATAAAAATTTTTGCTTCAATCGATTAATAACTAAATATGATTTTCTTTGGATAAAAAAATAAAAGAAAGTTTGAATTTAATTTGAAAGCGAAAATTTTTTTGGTTATATTTTTAGTGAAAATTAATTTTTTTATGTCTTTAAATGTAATTTTGTTAAGAAAATGTAGGACACTTTTGAAATGATTTGAGTCTCTCTAAATATTAAACAAAAGAGAATGAACACACGAAGCAAAGAAACACCATATATACCTGAATGTTATCTTCACAAATGGTTTTCAACCATTAGAAGTATTGAAAGTCATGTTAGAATCTTCGTAACTAATAAATACCTAAAAATTAAGAATTGGAATCAGAAATCTGATCCATTCCACAAATTGAGAGATGAAAATGTTTATATTTTTCAAAAAAATTCCAAGAATAAAGAAATCATCGATAAACTTAAACTAATAAAAGATAAAGAAATGAGTTCAAGAATTCTAGAAGAATCTCCATGAACTTCATCAAAGAGCTATTTTGAAGAAGAAGAAGAATAAGAATAAGAAGAAGAAAAGTCGACACTAGCGGTTTCATTTGAAAGAATATTCTCGATGGATCAACGATTCTTAGAAGATTCTCCATCTGATAATGGAGAAACTTCACCAAGAATATTTGCTTCCTTCAATGAAGAAGATGAAAAAGCTCCATCCAGTAGAATCTTTGAAAATAGAAATGAGAAAGAAGTTTCAACTAACAATATCTTTAGAGACTCAATATCAAGAAGTAATATTGAAGAATCAACCTCTAGTAGAATCTTCGAAAATCACTCATCCGATGAAGAGTAATGACACATTTTCTTAAAAGCTTCTGATGAAGAAGATGGTTGTGAGATACAACTCTTTCCTACAAGAAATTATTTAAATTAAATGCTAATTTAATCGATGATTGTGATAAGATTGAAAGAGTAACTTAGATCTTAAAGATTACATTAAGTTTCTAAATTATAGCAATGACACATTAAGATGTGAAATTTCTAATTTTAGAAACCAAGCTAGTAAATGCGAGACTAGTATCTCAATGAAAAATGAAGTGAAAACATTGCATAAAATCCTAAGTGAATTCACTAAGGGAAAAGATAACCTAGATTGTACTTTATCAAGTCAAATGCCTTCTTGAATAAAACTAGATTAGATTTTAACTTGAATGGATCACATAGTAAAGGCTTCAATAGGATGAAACTGAATCTTCCAATTTATAAATGCTCATTCAATAATAAGTTTTTCCATTTAGAACCATTTTGTTAATGATGTACTAAGAGGGTATAAAGTTAATAACCATAGACCTTTTAGAGCTACTAATGCACCAAGACTCAAAAAGAATTGGGAACAAAATTTGAAAACCTCAATTATTTTGTATGAAGGCTTTACTGCTTTAATGAAGCCTTAATACATGTAAAATGAAGCTGTGAAAAGCAAGATCTATATGGACTGACATCTATGACCATGCCACCTAGATAAGACTCATCTCAAACGCTTTGATGTGATTATCTTAACTTGCACATTCATTCTATTTTGAGTTTTCACTTTGATGAGATACACAAAATCCTTCTCAAAATAAAGCTCCCTTTAGGGTTTCCCTATGGCATGTCACGTACCTGACATAGACGAGTGACATATGATACATGTGATCAACTCCACCCTTTTCTACGAAAGAGTGATGTAAGTTGCGCTTGTTCAACTCACCGCTTCTATATGGACGAGTTGTATGGACCTTAAAGGTAAAACTTAATAGGCCTTTGCATCATAGAGAGGAGCCCATTAGGTCAAGACAAATACTAGACTTAGGAGAGAAAACTAAGTTGGAGGATTGAGAGGAACAATGTATTTTATCATTAGTAATTTATGAGAGGACTTTTTGTAATCCATCTAAGGTTTTCTATTGAGTAGCTCATCCATAGGAACTATCTTGTCTTTACATACGTGAACATTGGTGCCCACCTTGGGGCTACAATAAAACTTTCCAACGAATTAGCTCAATTTCTACTTACATACCACAATGGCACCATGCAGACAAACTCAAACTTCTTCTCGTTTTATTCTTAACAATGACTCCAACTTATAACTAGCTCCACTTATAGAGTAATTATGTGAGCTTTAAGAATGAAATATGTAGCAACAACTAGGAAACAAGGAGCAATAACGTCAATGAGATGAAGCTCAATTTTGGTAGGTCAGGCTCAAGCAATAACTAGAGGAACGAGAGCATGAACTTAGGGAACAATTGGCGCCTAGAGAAAGAGAGTAAAGACAATAAATCGAGCTCTTGCAATCCAATTAGTAGTTATTATTCGTCACTTTTGGGAACCTACACTTGACTCTTATGACAGAACAGTTGGCCGTCAAAGTCGTGTTTCAACATTCTAGACACAAATGTTAATAATTAGACTTGACGACGTGCTGAGCTGCAAAATTTTTGTAGGGACTTTGAAAGATGTAGCTCATAAGTGGATTACAGGGCTCCCATCTAGGTCCATCACAAGCTTCAAAGACCTTGCAATTTGTTTTGTTGCTCAATTTTTAGAAAACAGTGAAAAGCCTTTCTTAGTAGCTAACTTATTCGATGTCCAACACCATTCAACTTAGTCTTTGAAGAGCTACATAATCGAATTTAACAATGTTACCCTCAAAGTGGAGGAACCAAATGAAGATATGTATGTCATGTCCTTCGGGAAAGGCTTGAGCTCAGGAACTTTTAGTGAGACCATAACGCTGCGTGAGCCATCACTTCTATAAAAAGTACCTTTCGTAGTGCCAGTGAATTTCATTTCACCACAACCAAATGATTCGTTATGGTAGAATCTATTCAATTAGACGTTTCCCTTTTATTTTCATTTTGAAGCCCACTTTTCACCACAGTTGGAACTTCCAATTGTGATGAAAAGTGGCGCATGGTCATGTTTTAATGTTGTTGTTGTTGTTGTTGTTGTTCCACTACTGCATTTTTCAATATTTTATTAAAATACATACAAAAACGGTTGTTTGATACAATCGTTGTTGTATGTAGTGCATGGTCATGAGTTAGAAGCTTGTTGTTGCTGTTCTACTGCTGTATTTTTTATTTTTTATTAAAATACATACAACAACAATATTTTAATACAATCGTTCTTGTATGTAGCATGTTTATTGAGTTTCTTCACCGTCCTTATATAAATCTTGGTCCTCCATTTAGTGATAATCAACGCTCAAGACACTACCATTAGTGATCCACATGAAGCCTAAAACATAGACAAATTTCCAACTTAGACGAACTTCATATTCTACCTCAAAACGTCATCTTTCATTTACGAAGCACTATTTCTAAACTTAAAAAGCTTATAAATTTCACTTCTTTCATAAAAAAAATCGAAAATTTTCATATATTTCATTAACAAATTTCATAACTCCATCATATCTTCTCCAACTTGAATGATACAAGAAAAATATGGATTCAAGTTAGAAATGTTAGATGTTGTTATTGTTGTTATTTTTTGTTATTGAAACAATCGGTCGGACATCGACTGATAATATATCAATGAAGTTGCCATCGAACGTTTTTTATCCCAAAGGAAGGGAAAGGTGAACATCAAGAAAACCTGAAGGGGGGGGGTAAGATCACAGTCTTTCAACCAAGAGATCGGGTGAGGAAGTCTGTTACGCAAAGGGAAGGTGTTAGCACCCCTCACGCCCATGGTACTCCATAGTATCCACTTTTGTTTGCTACTTCTAAGGGTGTGTTTAAGCTATGTCTATGATTAAAGAGAAAATGAAAAAGGAATGAATGAAAAAAGAAATGCGGAGAAAAGACATAAGTAATTACAATTTGTGCTCGGTTAGGCTTCGCAACCTCTTTCCTACGTATCCCTTTCGAGGAATCAGAGCATCGTAGTTTAACTCACATATTTTGATTTGTTTTGTATTTTTAATGGAACAATATTAATTTTGCATTCTACATGCAACTTGACCTTTGGAGACTCACGCATCTGGAGTAGAAAGGAATTAACATGCTTAAAAAATGCTCGGAGGCGGATGATGCTATATTCGCGACTCTAGCAAGTAGACATGGTGCAACCCGATCTTTGGGGAATTACGCGTCGTATTGCATAAAGGGG